GCGGTAGCTCGGATTCTCTGGGGAGGTCTGATTTCTCGGGGGAGGTCTGATTCTCGGGGGAGGTCTGATTCTCAGGAGAGGTCTTATTTCTCGGGGGAGGTCTGATTTTCAGGGGAGGTCTTATTTCTCAGGGGAGGTCTTATTTCTCAGGGGAGGTCTGATTCTCGGGGGAGGTCTGATTCTCGGGGGAGGTCTGATTTCTCGGGGTAGGTCTGATTCTCGGGGGAGGTCTGATCCTCGGGGGGGGTCTTATTTCTCGGGGGAGGTCTGATTCTCGGGGGAGGTCTTATTTCTCGGGGGAGGTCTGATTTTCGGGGGAGGTCTTATTTCTCAGGGGAGGTCTTATTTCTCAGGGGAGGTCTGATTCTCGGGGGAGGTCTGATTCTCGGGGGAGGTCTGATTTCTCGGGGGAGGTCTGATTCTCGGGGGAGGTCTGATTTCTCGGGGGAGGTCTGATTCTCGGGGGAGGTCTGATTCTCAGGAGAGGTCTTATTTCTCGGGGGAGGTCTGATTTTCAGGGGAGGTCTTATTTCTCAGGGGAGGTCTTATTTCTCAGGGGAGGTCTGATTCTCGGGGGAGGTCTGATTCTCGGGGGAGGTCTGATTTCTCGGGGGAGGTCTGATTCTCGGGGGAGGTCTGATCCTCGGGGGAGGTCTTATTTCTCGGGGGAGGTCTGATTTTCGGGGGAGGTCTTATTTCTCGGGGGAGGTCTGATTTTCGGGGTAGGTCTGATTCTCGGGGTAGGTCTGATTCTCAGGGGAGGTCTGATTCTCGGGGGAGGTCTTATTTCTCGGGGGAGGTCTGATTCTCGGGGGAGGTCTGATTTCTCGGGGGAGGTCTTATATTACAGGAATCTTGGAAAATAGTGCTAGGTCTTTCGGGGGAAACAGAAATATCACATATCCGATATAAATATAGAGCCCGAACGTCTCACTTAGGACAAATCAAATGTTAAAAAAAAAACAAAGTGAAAAACGTAAAAACACTTTTCCTCAGTTTTGATTTGTAGAATTTTTTTTTTTTTTTTTTAATGCGTCATTCGGAAACCCCCCCTCCCCTCCCCCGAGGATTTTAGAAATGTTTCTGTACTTCTCGGCCTAAAACCTAACATTTTAATATTTTCTCTCTAAGGCCCCATTCACACTGAGCGACACGTACCTGGCGCGGATTTCCGCGCGAACGATATATATATAGCGCGACTTTTCGGCCGACGATCGCACCACCTTTACTACTGGGCTGCATGCAAACGGAGCAAAATCGTGCGACATCCGCGGCAGAAAGGGTCCTGCGCAAGCGACGAGCTCCAGGCGGCGTTGAGCTCCGGAATAGAACAGCTCCATTGAAAATCAGTCTCGCAATATCGCGCGCCCATATGCACGATTTTCGACCGGAAATCCGCTCAGTGTGAGTGGGGCCTAAGGGCCCATTTGCACCATATCCAGACCAGATTGTTTCCGGACCAAAAATACATCCTAATGTATCCCTATGCTATTTCTGGCCTCTGTTCACACCAGCGCAGTCCGTTCCAGACCAGACCAGAAAAATACTGCACGTCTCATCTTGTCTGGAATGCACTGGAACTGCGGGCAGGTTCACAGCATTTTCCAGACCAGATATTTTATAATCTGCAGATTTTCATTGTAAGGGGTTAATTTACATAAATGAAAGTATAACTGTACCCAGCCGCCCCTCAGGTGAGAACAATCATACCCTTCCAACCAGCCCAGACGGTGAATCATAGTTGCCGACAGCAACAGAAAAACCCCCTTAGCTCTGAGGTAATGTGCTCGTGCAATCACTGACATATCCCACAGTGCTGTACAGAGAACACTGTGCTAGTCTATTTCTATACAGAGGAGCTTACACTCTAATGCAGAATGGCACCGGCTGTAGGGGCGACTACAAATCCCAGCAACACAGAACAGTATATGAATTGAACACTGGAGTCAGTAGCTTGGACATACCATCTCCTAACTGGGTCCCCAGCCGGACTCTTATGGAACTGTGTGGCAGTAGGGATCACTATCATGATGCTCTATGGGTGACTCTGCTCAATGTACTTCTATGTAGGCGCCAGGCTGTCTGGGGGTGGGCGTTGCTTAGGATCATGTGATCAAGCTCTGATTCTGTGGGGTATACATTCTCTGCAATACACCAGTTCCAGGTTTTTACTCCACAATCCGTGCCGCCTGGTTCTCGGGGTAAACATTTGCTATATTCACTTTCTTCTGGTTCCAGAGTGGAGAAAGACGAATTCTGAGGTACCCAGTCAAATGCAGAGTCCCACCGCACTCCTGACCGAGGAGCCCCATACAATGTGGGTGCTGAAGTGGCCACGGGTGTGCCAGGCGACCGCCTCGCAGCCAGGGGGGCCCGGGCGGCCGTCTCGCAGCCAGGGCGGCCGTCTCGCAGCCAGG